AAAATCACAGTGAGAGCACGCAAGCATCCATAGGAAAGCATTTTAAATGCTTTCCTATGCGACCGGCTGAATGCGCGCGCAGCTCTTGCCGCGCGTGCGCATTCAGCCGAATGGGAGGAACAGAGGAGGATCAGAGGAGGAGAGCTCCCCGTCCAGCGCTGGAAAAAGGTAAGTTTTTACCCCTTTCCTCTCCCCAGAGCCGGGTGGGAGGGGGACCCTGAGGGTGGGGGCACCCTCAGGGCACTATAGTGCCAGGAAAACAAGTATGTTTTCCTGGCACTATAGTGGTCCTTTAAGAAGTGCAAATTTTAAAAAAACAGATCAGTCTCCTTTAGATACAGTTTTATATGGGTCAAGATCTAAAAAACTTCTCAAATTAGACAGATCATCAACAAATCTATTCCAGAAGCTAAAATAAAAACTATCATAAAGTGATTATTCTTATTCTCATCATTTATGGACAGAGTCTATAGACCATCTTAGAAAATCAGTACATTGTACAAACAGTTTGGAAAATTACTACAAAATCCTAAATAGATGGTATCTAGTTCCCAATAGATTATGTAAATTTAAAGCTCAAAACTCGAACCTATGCTAGAGATGTAATAAGGACATTGGGACATTAACACATATTTGGTGGGACTGTTCAAAATTCAAAATTGAATTCGATCAAGGATTTTGTACTACAACTTTTTAAGGACCTATATCTAAAGTTATTGGAATTGACTCCCGAGAAGTTTCGCTTTCATATAAATATTACTGGTTTAAAGAAATTTGAAAATTACCTGCTAACACATGTACTAATGGCAATAAAAATCTGTGTTTCCAGATATTGGAAGAGCGTAGAAATTCCTTCTTTAACTGAAATTACAAATTAATCATCAAGGAGTCATGGAAAAAGTGGTTTATTTCAACAATGGAAATATTTTTAAATATAATAAAATCTATAATATACATTAATCCCTCATGATCTAGGATGTCAAGTGGTAAAAGATTGTTTAATTAAGTCAGGAAAATTTCTAAAGCACATATAGACTTTGTAATTAAGAGTATTAATTGGATTTAAACAATAATTATTTTATATTTAATTCAAAATTTTATTTCCAATGCCAAGGGATTGTGATGGGCACCAGGTTTGACCCCAGCTAAGCTAACTTATTCATGTCAGGCTGGAAAAATATCTTTATATATGATAGTCCAGAATGGGGGGCAAACCTGGTCACATATCACAGATACATTGATGATTTAATTTTTATATGGAAAGCTTCAGAAGAAGATCTTGAAATATTTTCAGAAAGACTAAATACTAACAATTGGAGTATTACTCTAACTAGTGAATTTAGTACATCTTCTATTCATTTTTTAGATTTGAAAATTTATATAGAAAATAATATGATAAAAACAAAAAAATCTTCAAAAAGATAGACCCTAATAATTATGTCTACAATAGTGGCCATTACACACTTTGGCTTGACAATATATCATAAGGGCAGTTTCAAAGGATTAGGAGAAACTGTATGGATAAAGAAAATTTGAAGAACAAGCCACGGTGTTGATGGATAAATTTATCTAGAAAAAATACCTGAAACAACTTCTAGAGAAAGCATATGAAGAGGTAATAAATTTAGATGCAACAAAACTATTAAAGGAATCTAAATCTCTAACCAAAATTAACACATCACTACCTCTAGTCTTTGATTTTAACCAAGATTTTAAGAAAATTAGGTCAATAGTAAATAAACATTGGCATGTTCCAAAAAAGGATAATGAGCTATCTAAAATTATTCCTGAAAAACCCTTCATCACCTTTAGAAGAGCACTAAATTTTAAATGGATTTTAACTTTTAACTACCCTAAAAAATAAATCCCAAGAACATTTCTAGATGATAATTAAAGGTTTTTATTTAAGGATGTGCATGGGAAAAATATTCGGTTCGGATTGGCATTCTGAAATTCAGGACTTCAGCAGTTTGGAACTTAGTCACTTCAGAACTTCGGCACATCGGCACTTTGGTTCGGCACTTTGGAACTTCGGAACTTTAGGACTTCAGGTAAGTGTAGGGTTAGGGTAGGGTTAAGGGTAGGGTTAGGTTAGGGGTAGGATAGGGTAAGAGTTGGTTTAGGGTTAGGGGTAGGGTTAGAGGTAGGGTTAGGGGGTAGGGTAAGGCTTAGGGGTAGGGTTTAGGGTAGGGATAGGGGTAGGGCTAGGGTAGTTTTAGGGTTAGGTTAGGGGTAGCATTAGGTTAGGGTTAGGGTAGGGTTGGGGTTGGGTTAAGGGAAGGTTAGGGGTAGGGTTAGAGGAAGAGTCAGGGTAGGGTTATGGTAGGGTTGGGGGTAGGGTTGGGAGCATAGTTAGGGTTAGGAGTAGGAGTAGGGTTAGGAATAGGGTTAGGGTTACACTACCGCTACCTTAACCCACCCCTAACCTTACCTTAACGCTACCCTAACCCTGCCCCTAACCCTGCCCCTAACCCTAAACCAACCCTAACCCTACCCTAACCCTAACCGTACCCCAACCCCTAACCCCAACCCTCTCCTGTTTTGCCACTTTTCAGAAAACCAAAACACTTCGGAAATTCGGCAATTCAGCGCTTTGGCAATTCGGTTCGGCATTCCGAACTTCAGCACTTTGGCAATTTGGTTTGGCTCGGCAGTCCGAAATTCGGCAATTCGCACTTCGGACATTCGGAAGCATCCGAATGTCCGAATTTGCAATCAGAACTAAACAAATTGCACATGTCTATTTTTATTCTTGTAATAAATGTGCAGGGTGCAAATGTAGTAAAACTGTGTCTTTAAAAGGTATAAATACATTTAAAACTAAATTTAGTGACAAAGAATTTTTTTATAAAAGATTTTATCACATGTTTTAGTAAAAATTTAATTTAGCTTCTAATATGTCAATGTGGACTTTTACTATGTAGGGCGGACAATTCGTCCCCTACGTAAGCGTAAGATAACATATGAATATGTGAATAATGTGTCTCTGCACATTTCAAAAAATACCATAATGAAGACCCAAGAGGTCTTAAATTTTTTGGAATTGAAATAGTAAAAAAATCATGGCGTGGGGGTAATCATATGATAGATATTAGAAAGGAAGAGATGAAATGGGTATATAGGGTGAAAACTTTATAACCAAATGTATTAATTATAGAAATTGATTTATTAATTTTTTTTATGAGCTTTTATAGGGTTTGTTATTAAGTATTTTAATCATACTAGACTTTTGACTACGTTGAGTATTTAAATTTTTCTCTTTCTCTCCTTATCGTAGGTTATCTTAAACATCTTTTGAATATTTTTTATATTTTTTTATAATTATGTTATAATTATGTAGTTTTTTTATGGAATAAAATTGTGTAATATGTTTCATATTTTTTTTAAATTGTAATGTATATGTATGTACATATGTTTAATAAAGCTGAAATTAGCCAATTTGCACTTTTGGAGATATTGTAATTATCTCCATTTGGAGGCGTGTGTAAAGAACTGACAGGCGAGTCTGAGCAGATCTGAAGAAGCCATGAATACAGGGAACGAGCACGAACGCACGCATAGCACGCCTGCAGTTTTGTAATTTCCTCCTACCGTAAGTGTTAAGTTGCGGCAAACCTGGTTAACGGAGAGAAAGAAGCCGGCTTTTCACTTTAGTAACCCGAATATTTGTACTGCTGCTGAAGGGGGGGTTTGGACGAAGCTGCTGTATGTTTTATGCGCAATAAATCTGCAAAAGTGGATCGACTGTCTCTGTCTTTTACTGCCCGAAGAGGGAGTGTTATTTGGAGCTGTCATAGTTAGAGCAGGCTCATCTGCTCTACTTTTGTGAGTGTGCATTACATCCATTATATTTTGTATATAGTCATACAGATTTACACTATCTGCACTTTATTTCCCTTTTTTTTTTTTACATGTTGTGATACATTGAGATGAACAACATATAAATTTTAACCCCTTAAGGACCAAACTTCTGGAATAAAAGGGAATCATGACATGTCACACACGTTATGTGTCCTTAAGGGGTTGGAATAAAAGGGAATCATGACATGTCACACACGTTATGTGTCCTTAAGGGGTTAAAGTGAGTGTTTTGTGTATTTTTACCACATATTTGCACATTATATAAGTGACATGGAGTTTTATGCACTATAACGCAAACTGCACTTCTGCACATTATAACACTTTCTGCACTTTAAAACTTTCTTTCTTAAAGACACAGCACCCCTATATAGATTTTTTGTCTTTCCTTGACTAGCCAACATCATGCTGAGAAAGACTTATTGTTAGGAGGAAACATTGCTCAGCTTGGTGTCGGGACCTCAATAAATCTGAAGTGCCTTTTCACCAATTGATGTGTACTGTACAGGTTTCTTTTTTGGACTCCACATTATGTGGACCAAAATGACCTGGTCCAGCATATGTTGTTGGTCCTGGTAGACTTCCATAAGTAGATACCACATACAGATGGGTATAGCATATATATTGAGGAAAATGTAGACTATAACAATCACCAATTGGCAATGTGACTTTTTCTTCTGTATAGAACCAGATAAGAAGAACTACATGAGAACCGATCCATGTTCATCCTTAAAGATGCAGCACTCATGTAAGTATACAATGTCAAATCATGAATAATTAATTTAAGGTAAAACAAAATGCTTTCTTCTTTTTTGAGAATAGGGGCTTTTTTTACATGTGCTTTTTTTCTGATTGAACAAACATAGCCTGATACATCATGTAATAAACAGGAAAACATTTCCAATTTAACCCCTTAAGAACACATGACATGTGTGACATGTCATGATTCCCTTTTATTCCAGAAGTTTGGTCCTTAAGGGGTTAAATATGTCACACAGTTTGCTTTCAAAGCAATAATACAATTTATATTTTTAGATAGAAGCAGTGTTCTGCTCATACAATTGCGTACAATTACACATAGTCGAACAGTGTGTCAGCATACTGACAAAACAGACAAAGTGTGGATGAGAGGGGAAGAGAGGGATAAGAGAGAGAGATAGAAGGAGAAAAGGCAGGTAGGGAAGTGGCAGGAAAACTCAAGAATCGGGTGGCGCTACAACATGCACTACAAAAGTTTAAAAAACAATGTTACTTGCAAAAAGGCAAATGATGAAAGTAATGATAGTTTGTGACTGTGCATCCTTCTGGGTGCATTTGGTTTCTTTACGTTGGTGCTTTGTGAAACTTCTGAATTTGGATGAGAGGCATATTGCCACAGTTTATCTTGGGTCGACCGAATTCTGGCCTTATTATGCTTTTATAAATATGTGAATATAATTGAAATCTGCACTTTTTGTAAATAATTTTAAAAAAAGATGACACACTTTCCACACATAAAGCATTTCAGCAAGCTAAAAAGCTTTACGAGTCTGGAGTGTCCTTTTAACTGAGCTAATCCTACTTATTCACCTTTCAATTTAGAAACATGCATTTGTATATATATATATATATATATATATTCCCCCTAAATAGTCAGTTGAGCCCTTAATGTTGGATGAGTTTTTATCTCTTGGAATAATTCATAAATCCTAGCAGCAATCCAATTTTGTTTTTATATAGTGGGGTTTTAATTCACTCAAGCAACATTGCTAGAAGTGAAATACTTCATATAGGTAGTCTGCATGTAATATTATTTATTAATGTTGTAATAGCGTTTTAAACTTTATGTGTGCCCTCTAGCATGCAAAAGTGTTGTTTATTAAATTTTTTTTTTTAACAACCTAATTCTGCAAACTCTTGGGAATTTGACCACATTAGTACAGTGGATGTGCAGTGAATTATATATTTTAATAATTTAATTTAAGAAGTTTAAGTAGTTCAGTTTGTTGTTTTGTTGCCTTAATTTATAGTTTGAACATAATGTCCGAAATCATAGGGCTAGCTAGATTTGGTCTATAGGAAATTGGAAGCAAATAGCCCAACTTGTGGCCAAACCAGTACATTGTCTCATCATACCCAATTCCCTTTCCATGATATGTCTAGTATTATGCTGTTAGGGACCAGCCTACAAACATTTCTATACTAGCAGCCCAGGACATATGCCCCCTGCCTCTCTTGCTACCCCCCCCCCCCTTGCCCATGTAAATTTATATTGAGAAGCCATACCACAGGTAAATAGCCCTGCTATTGATTTTATTTATTTATTTTTCATTTTGATTTTTTGGTGTGTAAAAAGTAAATTTTTACAACCTGATAGCTACTGTACAGAAAGAGAGTATTGTAATACTTAAATGTCTATGGATCTCCTAAATTCAAAACAGCTTTTTCAGGATTAATTACTTGGAGAATTTGAAACCTTTGGGAAATAAAAACAGTAATTGTGAGCTCCATTTAATAACCATTTAATTTATTTATATATTTTTTAAATTCTTTATTTTTAATGTGCAATGTCAACATGCAAATGTAGCAAAACAGTACAATGATAAGGATTTTACAAGAGACTCTGAATATACAATGTTGCTAATATGCTGCACTTTTTATATTTATTGTAAATGGGAGGTTAGTCCTAGAGGGCTTGGTGAGCTCTTTAAACATTTACGTAGGGCGCCTTTGTCCCCTTCTAGGTAAATTAGTGGTAGCTGGTGAGTGATTCGGGTTAGGGAAAGATGTGGCGGCTAACCATGAGCAAGCTTATGCCCAATTCCACTCCATAGGGTTTGAATGTATGTACTATACATAGTATAAATAGCCCATAATCGTGAGGGTCCCTTCCATAGAAGCTGTAGTACGTGTATGAGTATAGGGGCCTACCCTAGGGTGATTTTGCCCCTAACCTAGGGGGCATCAGGGAGGGGGGTGGGGTGGATTAAGTGTTAAGTAGTGGAATACTGAGTGTCTAGGCGACGCCGGACCAGCGCTGCAGAAATTAAGGCACTTGAAACTACAGAACCCTGAGAGGCTTTACAAAGTAATGTGTAAACTCAACAGAAAACAATGTTCAGTAACCAAACTCAATAGAAGGAAAATAAAACTGAAATATGTGGAAGCAACATAGCTTCCATCCATAAGTGAGAGGTTTAGTTTTGGAGTCAAGTGGCTAGTGCGGCCTCTCATTCGGTTCTTGGTACAAATGGCATGACAGTTGATGGGTCCCACATTTGAGTGGAGTGCTGGTCAAGCAGAGCCACAGTCGAATCTACGATGCCCAGAGCTGCAAGCAATGTGGGTGCTTTGGCCATTGTGGCGATCTTGTGGGTAGTCCCATTGTGATTAATGAGAAAGGATCTTGGTGACCCCCATCTGTATGTTATACCTGCTGAGCGTAGACGACTGGTTAGTGGGTTAAGAGATTTTCGCCATTGTAGTGTGGCTTTAGATAAGTCGTGGTAGAAGGTCAATTGGGATTCCTCATATAAAAGTGGGTTCTTCAGCACTATTATTTGTTTTTTCTCCTATGCTTCATTATAGGACTGTACCTATGTAAGAGAACCGTCTTTAAAGTGCATGTAAGATACTCCACCTTATTTTTTTGTTTGTGTTTTC